CTTACTCTCTAGCAGGGGTAGCAAATTAGTAGCCACTCAGTGCTCACTTTGAGAATTACTTATATCATAAATTTGAGCATGTAGCTGATGAATATCCACAGACAAGTGTATATTGTTCCACAACCTCCTAAATGCTGTGGGATTAAGTTTGCCATTCTCTTTTCATTCCATTTTTCCATGGAGTTTTGAAGCACCCTCAGCTATGAGGGTGTGTGCATCCTCTAGAGTCATAGTGCTGGTCCCTGGACACACTCGGGTTCCTCATGCCTCCCACCCGCCTTGGGCCATGGTTGGTTCTTTATGATCATCAGCATTGGTAACAGAGGAGGAGCTGGAAAAGGGATGAGGAGAGAGCAACAGTGAGGGAAGAGAAAAGGAGAACCTGAGGGGAATGTTGGTGGGAAGTGAAGGCTGTAAAGGGAGGAGGCTTCAACCTAAGCTGACCTTGGATGCAGGAGAAAGGTCTGTCACTCAGAAGAGCAGGTCCAACACAAGCATGGTATGCATTCTTCTTGTTTGTGTACTTGTCTAACAGTGTGTCTTTCCTCCTAGAGAGCAGAAATCATCTGTCATCTGGCTGATCTCTTGACGGACCAGCGTGATGAGATCTTGTTAGCCAACAAAAAAGACTTGGAGGAGGCAGAGGGTAAACATGACCAGGCTCTTTAGAGTCATTGTTTCAGAAGTATTTTGTTTCTACTAGTAATTCTTGGAGTTCTGGTGTGTTGCTGTAGGATAAGCACTAGACTGCTAACCACGAGTTCGGTGGTTCAAACCCACCAATCAAATAGGGTTCAAACCCTGTTTAGGGTTGCCATGAGATGAAACCGACTTGACAGAACGTAACAACAACTGTAATTCGTATAACATGTTGTTGTTGTCAGGTGCCATAAAGTCGGAGCCCACTCATAGCGACCCCATGCACAGCAGAACGAAACAATGTCCAATCTTGGGCCAACCCACTACCGCTGCTACATTTGAGTCCATCAATGATGCCACCTGGCCAATCCATCTCATTAGGGGTCTTTCTCTTTTTCTCTGACCCTCCACCTTACCCAGCATGACATCCTTCTCCAGCGACTGTTTCCTCCAGACAATATGTCCAAAGTATGAGAGACGAAGCTTAGCCATCTTGGCCTCCAAGGAGCACTCTGGCTACACTTCTTCCAAAACAGATCTATTGGTTCTTTTGGCAGTCCATGGCACTTTCAGTATTCTCCTCCAACACCACAACTCAAAGGCATCAATTCTTCTATGATCTCTTATAACATAGTCTGCCAAAATATAAGATTTTTATAGAAGAAATCATGTATGTCGTGCATCATTTTTATTGAGATAGGTGGAAAGTAGTAGTTGGACTTTTTGAAACTGTACATACACATCTACCCCATAGATTCTAACACAACCCCCGATAAGGGCTTTCTCCATTCCCCACAAGTCATGAGCCATGGTTGCGGTAACAATTTCAGGCCTCCCCCAAAACCGACAACAAAAAGATTGAGAGCCTCACTGCTTTGAACACTCAACTGATAGCAGGTAACATTTGCTGAACCCTTTCACATCACAGTGCCCATGGGATTGTTGCTGTTGATTCTGACTCATGGTGAATTCATGTGTGCATAGTAGACCTGTTCCAGAGGGTTTTCAAGACTGACCTTTTGGAAGCAGATGGCTGGGCCTGTGTCACCTCTGGATGGTTCAGACTGCCAGTCTTTCAGCTAATAGTCAAGCACTGACCATTTACACGATGCACTGACTCCACCTACAAAGTAGCTACTAGTTGTTGTTGTTAAGTACTGTTGAGTTGGTTTCAACTCATAGTGACCCTGTCTGTAAGGTTTCTGAGGCCCGGCTGCTGAGTTTGAACTGCCGACCTTGTGGTTCAAACTGACCTTGTGATCCATTACATTTTCCTTCAGCTCCACACTAGGACTCCAGCTACTAGTACTATTCCCATTTTACAGATTAGGAAACTGAAGCTCAGAGACGTTCTCACCTACCCATGTGATCAGTGATTCAAACTCAGATTCATTATGCATATAGTAGAAGCCGATTTTGTAGCATGTGATAAAAAATAGCTTGTCTATTCAGTTAATTAACTAGTGTGAAATCTGTCCAGAGTTAGGGAATGTGCCTTTGAGAGGTGTGTTGATAGTGTGAGGCAGAGGCTGAGCTCACAGCAAGGCAATGAACGTCTCCTTTATTCTCTTTTCCTAATTCCATATTCAAATACTGGAGTTGGTTTCATGGAAATTTGAACAAATAAATGCACCTGAAACATCCAGATTTGTGCGTGTCCTAAGAAACATTGTCTTGTCCAGCTTTTTAGCTTAAAGACACAGCATTGAGATAGCCACAGAGGTTAGAGCTTTGCTCAAAGTCACACAGGGAGTTATTGACAGAACACTGACTTCTGATCCTGTTCTGTTTCTCTGGAAATACACAAGGACATACAGTATATTTCAGAACAAAGTTCTGGGTGTACATGATAATCACAATGAACTCAGTAACCCATTTCTGGGAATTTATCAAGAAGATAAAACAGCTTTAAGTTAAAATTCTTAGAGCAAGATTATCTGTCATACAGAAAAACTAGAAAGCACGTGGTGTCTAATAACAGGTGTGATGAGCTACATTAAACAGTATCAACTCAATGGAATATTTGATTATAATTAAAGCAATAATTTCTGCTACATAGAAAATTTACATGCATTATTAGGCAAAAGGCTAGAATGTGACATGTAACATGCATTGTGCTTGACACTGTGGGTTAATGCACTGGACTGCAAAGTTAGTTTGAACAGCAAGGTCAGTGGTTCAAACTCACCAGTTGCTCCTCAGAAACCCAATACAGGGTCACCGTGGGTCGGAACCAGCTTGACAGCACTTAACAACAACAACAACATGATTAGTGCAACAGCAACAACAGATAGCAAGCACATGTGAGGGGAAAGGAATTGGCTGACATAACTGGTTGATTGTTGTTACTATTGCTAAGTCGGTTCAGACTCATAATGCCCCTGTATACGGTTTCTGAGGGGCAGCTGGTAGATTTGAAGTACTGACCTTGTGGTCTGCAGTCCAGTGTTGATCTACAGCACTACACCAAGAGTTCAGTTGGTATGATGATGTGTTTCCATTTTTTTCTTAATTGTTTATCTTTATGGGGGTGCTTATTTAAAAAAGAAAAAAATTTCATTAGCTCACCTCATCATTAACTGCAGGAAAGACTGTGGTGTGTGATACCAAATGTCCTCATGTGTATGTATGAAAACATACTGAGAGAGAACTGTACTATGCCTACTATTTAAATAAGATTCTATATATGTGAAATTACCATAATTCTAGGCACTCTGGTAGCATAGTGGTTATGAGTCGAATTGATAACCTCAAGGTCAGCAGTTCAAAACTACTAGCTATTCCGTGGTAGAAAGATAAGGTTTTCTGCTCCTGTAAAGATTTATAGCCTCGGAAACTCTATACAGGGTCGCTATGCGTTTGAACTGACTCCATGGCACATAGGAGTCCTGGTGTGGCACTAGGTTAATGTGTCAGACGGCAAAGTCGTTTGAACTGCAAGGTTGGCGGTTCAAGCTCCCCAGCTGCTCCTTGGAAACCCTATACAGAGTCGCAATGGGTCAGAATCGACTTGACAGCACTTAACAACATCAACAACGGCATATAGCCAACCAACCATAATCTTATTTAAACTGCTTTATTGTTCTTGATTCTAAAAATAATTCACTCATAAAATTCTTAAAAACACAGAAAGGTGTCAGGATGGCAGCCGTTGCTGTTCTTGGTGTCTTCCAGACATCTCCATGTGCTTCAGAAAGGTTGTTCTTTTTAATTTTTTGTTGTGAATTGGGTGAAGGTGTACCGTCTCCACTCGACAGTTCATACACACTTTGATTCGTGTCATTGATTATAATCCCCACAATGTAACATCACTTATCCCACTTCCTCCGTTTTCTGTTCCCATGAACTTTTTGAAGCCCCCTCATATATGCAGTAGATTTTCAATTTGTTGTTAATTGCTGTTGAGTTGGTTCTGACTCATAGTGACTGGGTCCAAGGTTTCCGAGGAGCAAGTAGAATCATGTATATGCTGTTTTATGATATAGTTTTCCTTTTTCATAAACTGTACCTTAGATAACTTTCCATACCAATCAGTATAGGTACTTTACTTATAATAACTGCTCCACTGTTTCAGTTGTGGGTAGAATTCCGTTTGTCACTATTATAACATACTGTGCTCAACGTCCTCACTTTATATACAAGTTGTCTTGTGCAAATGCTGAATTTCAGTAATTAAAATTGCTGGCATAAGTGAAATGGGTGTACACACTTTTACATGATATGTAGTGCCAAACGAACCTCCAAGAGAAGCTATAGGAGTGACATGGCACTGCTCTATTGTGGTCCCTAAGATTGGGTCTGTTCCTAGTGCTGGCCCATCCTTGTATTCAGGGAAGCATCAAGAAATAAAAGTTGGAGGTGTGCCAGTCCAGATCTGCTGCTTTACCGTGTATTCTTCTTCTCAGGCAGACTTGCACCTCCTCTGCTGAAACGGTTAAGCCTCTCCACCTCTAAATTGAACAGTCTGGCCATCGGTCTGCGGCAGATTGCAGCCTCCTCACAGGACAGCGTGGGACGTGTTTTGCGCCGGACCCGAATTGCCAAAAACTTGGAATTAGAACAAGTGACTGTGCCAATTGGGGTTCTCCTGGTGATCTTTGAATCTCGCCCTGACTGTCTGCCACAGGTATGTGACTAATGCCCTGTCATCGGGCTTGTGGAGCTGGAGTACAGGATGTTTTCAGGATTGCAGATAAGTCTTCCAGGAATCATTTTTAAGATTACATCTTCAGGTTCTCTTTAGAGTATAATATGTAATCGATTCCTCCATTAATCCTAAAGTATCATATGTCCATTTTCTGAAACTTTTACAAGTTAACATTCCTAATCCAAGTTGAGAGTGAAGCAATGACTCCAGCCGAGGTCCATCCACTATATCATAACATAGTTGCAAACTTGAAATCGACTACCTCTCTGATATGCTCAGTTCTATGACTACTGGATCTCTGCTAGTCATTCATTCATTAACATGATTGGCTTTGTCAGTGTGAAACAAAAGAAACTCTTGTATTATTAGTGCCACAAATGGCTTCCTATTTTGTGAAGTAGTTACTGAAAATGAGAAGGCAACCATCTTGAAAGAAGTTGACACATCTCAGATTTATGTTAAAAAATCACATGTTCTTACCAAATGGCCATGCCCAGAATAATCAAGTGGCATTAGGTCTCCATCAGACTTGCCACAAGGATGATACAAACTCAAGCTCATTCTTTGCACTAACCCAAAGTCTCAGAGAAAAAAATGATGTAGAAACAAAAGCAGCAGCTCTTTATTGCAGTGCACAGTGGATGCTTCCCAGAGGTTACTCTGATAGGACCTAAACCTGGCTATTTACCAAGGGACTCCCATAACATTAGGGGCTGTCATCAGCCCCTGGCTGGTTTTGGAATTCCGCCACCTTCTGTTCACATACCTCTCATAGGGCTGACTGTATAAGTCCCTCTGTTAATAGAAATGGGTCCTTGGCTCTGTGGGCTGGAGTATCTCTGCTAGTTTCCCACTCATATGAGCTGTTGCTTTACAAGAGGGGTAGAGGTTTCTTCCTACAGCCACAGTGAGGTTCCTCACCAGGTATCTCAGCCAAGGGTGCCTTCAAATAATCCACATATCCTAAAAGATGTAGGGAAAAGAATTTTGTGTGTTTGTGCATTTATTTGGAGAAAGTTTATATAGCCTTAAGAGTGCATGAAGAAAACACACAAACAAGAAAGGACTTAAAAGATTAATCTGATGATCAACATATCAGACAAGGACTTTATGGTAGTTTCTTTTATCAAGTTGCAAAAAAAAAACAAGCTTCTCATTGTAAGAAAATTCAGAAAGCTTCAGACTCAGGAGAATCGAGTCAGTATCCTCTCACAGGGTAACTGGGATGACCCACCTTTTCCTCTCCAGACAGGCTTGGCGCTCCTCTCCTTGGAGTCTCTGCATACTGCCCAGGGCCTTATGGGGCCAGAGGAGGATGTAGCTGGAAGTGCCCCCATGGCTCATTCTGAGTCACTTCCTTACACTTGCCTGCAGCTGAGGATCCTGTTGTCCACAGTGGTCAAAGTGGGGGTGAGGGTAGCACTGTAACCCTGGCCCGTTAACTCAGGTTGCTTTGCTAATAACTCCTGAGGAAGCGGCATAGTTGAGCCTGTAAGATCCAGGCTTGTTTGGCTTTGGGGTCATGCCACCTGGGTGGCTTCTAGCCCTGATATTTACATGCTGTGTGTACTTTTGGGGCGTCACCAGCCTCTCTATACTTCAGTTTCCATATCTGGGGAAGAAAACAGGTACTTAATTCACTGGAATGTGAAATTTCAATGGCTAAGCCTGATACAGTGGGTGCTTAGCCCAGAAAAAGTACTCAATACCCATAAATGTTAATGTTGGTGTTGCTGTTCCTTTTTCCCCCACTTTGATTCACTCTTCTCTGTTTTGGCCTGCAGGTGGCAGCCTTGGCTATTGCAAGTGGCAATGGCTTGCTACTCAAGGGAGGGAAGGAGGCCTCACACAGCAACCAGTTTCTTCACCTCCTGACCCAGGAGGCCCTCTCTATCCATGGAGTCAGGGAGGCCGTACAACTGGTAAGGCCAGTCAGGCCCAGAGGTCAGAGCCCAAGCTTCTGGTGCTTGAAGCAAGAGTTGAGGCTGCACAGGGCCAGGGCACTCCAACAGGCCAACTTGATTGAAGGGGCAGCAGGTACTGAGTGCAGTAACCACCAGCATTAGGCCACTCTGCAGAGCAGGAACCTATTGCCACTCTGCAGAGCAGGAACAGATGGGCCTTCAGTAGCTTAGGAAGGCTGCATCCACACACTCTTCTGAGACTTAGCTGTTGTTTGTTAAGTGCCATTGAGCTGGTTCCAACTCATAGCAACCCTGTATGGGTTTCTGAGGAGCACCTGGTAAGTTTGAACTGTTGACCTTGCGATTCACAGTCCAGTGCTGATCCTGCAGTGCCACACCAAGAGTCCTGAGGCTGAACAGTGTTCCATTTAAGGAGCCCTGGTATTGCAGTGGATTACGAGCTGGGATGTTAATTGAAAGGTCAACAGATCTAATCTACCTGTCTTCCCTCTGGAGAAAAGATGAGGCTTTCTGCTCCCATAGAGATTACTATGTCAGAAACCCTACACAGGGTCACTATGACTTGGAATCAACTCAGCACATAAGCACCGGCACCACCACCAGTGTTCCACTTGCTGTTTGAAGAACTGTCTACATGGGATCAAAGTGAGAACAGCAAGGCTCCATTTTGTTGTAGAGAAGGAACAACTCAGAAAAGGAGGATGAGAATTGAAAATCTACATTACAGACTGGGAAACCCTGTGCAGCAGTTCTTCCCTGTCACATTCAGTCCCTATGATTCAGAATCTACTTGGCAGCACCCATCCATAACAGCAGCCTTTCTTCCATCAGTGAGGACTATCAGGAATAAAATTATTATAAACATTCTTTGGACATGTATATTTATATTTCTCTTATAAAAGTAACATGAACATTTGGGGTGGGGAATTTTAAGTCAAAAAGAGTGGGGAAAAAAAAGCTCGTAATCTCAGTATCCTAACAGAAGCATTCTAGTGATGCTAATCCGTATCCCAGGATACTGGTCATAGAGAACCCAGAGCAACCACTGTCTTTGTTGACCCCCTAGCCTTGCGCTCATTGTACCACCTTTACTTCCCCAGAGAGCACTCTGTTGATATCTCTCCTGCATTTAAAAAATTACCTGCCTTCTGTCCTAGCTACCTATGTCCTGATTCCAAGCTGGTTGAAGGCAGGCGCAGCACCTCATGTGTAGATGCTTGATAAGGTTTTGCTGGGTGGCATTTTGGTTTTCAGGATGATCCGTTTTCAGAATGTTTTCACAGTGTCTGATTTCGTCATCAGGGTAGGCAGACGTGTATCTGTTGATGGGATGCTGAAGAGTCTTGTTTTTGTGTGGTTAGGAGATGTCATCTGTAGCTTTTCATTCCCTACCTCTCCAGGTGAACACCAGAGAAGAAGTGGAAGATCTTTGCCGCCTTGACAAAATGATAGATCTAATCATTCCACGCGGGTCATCCCAGCTGGTCAGAGACATCCAGAAAACTGCTAAGGGGATTCCAGTGATGGGGCACAGTGAAGGCATCTGCCACATGTACGTGGATTCAGAGGCCAGTGTCGATAAAGCCACCAGACTCGGTGAGCTGGAGTCTCCTGTTACACAGGGTGAACATGGTTGGCTCTTGATCGTGTACTATATAAACACATCTTTGTTCTTCCCCCTTTAGTCAGAGACTCTAAATGTGAATATCCAGCTGCCTGCAACGCTTTGGAGACTTTGCTAATCCACCGAGATCTGCTAAGAACACCTTTATTTGACCAGATCATTGACATGCTGAGAGTGGAACAGGTAACACAAAGTCACAGACCCATACATCACTTCTTGTCTTCTATTTTGAGATTTACAATACGATGGGATTAGTGCTTGCCAGCAAGCCAGGAATAGCTGCCATTCCATTTGAGACGATTTTAAAAACGGTGTTTTTGAATATCTACTATGCACATGTTGTGTGTGAAGGACAGAAGTGAGTAAGACGTGATCTCTGTCCACTTGATAGTCTGGTAGGTAGAACAAACTGATACACAAATAACTTTATTACAAAGTGGAATGTGTTAAGTGCTAAGAGGGTACAAAGATAAGACATCACATGGTAGCATGTTGAATGGATTGCTTTTGACAATTTTTTAATCTGGCAGCAAAGTTTACAGTGTTTGTATTTCTTTGTATTTGAACATGCATTTTTTAAAAATTGGTTTTGAAACGATTGTAGAAATGTTTTCAAACCAAAAATTCATGTGCATCTGCCACCACTTTGTCCCCACCTCCACCCCCACCAAATGTCTTCAGTAGCCTATATTAATGCCCTTGTGGCATAGTGGGTTAAGTTTTGAACTGCTAACCAGAAGATTGGTGGTTGAAACTTACCAGCTGCTCCAAGGGAGAACGTTGAGGGAGTCTGTGTGTGTAGAGATACACAGCCTTGGAAACCCTGTGGGTCAGTTCTGCTCAGTCCTATAGGATTGCTGTGAGTCAGAGTCACTCAGTTCAGGGCCTCACCTTGCATCAGTGGTCTGTTTGACTGGACACCATTGTACACCAAGCACTACACTGGACCAGAATGGACAGGAGGAAAGGTCTTCTTTAGTCAGGACGAAAATCTCTCCAGGCCTGATTCTGGCAACTCCAGAATATTTGTTATCCCCAGGATTGCCTTGCAATTCCTCTAGTCACCTTTTTATTTCAGGAAGTGAACCCAGAAGGGCTCAGGAATAAGGTTTCAGTCCTAGAGGAAGATGACTGGGCCTTAGTCCTTGAGGAATTGGGGACCCAGATAAGAAACCACCACAGCAAAACCCCCAGGATAATGAAATTAAGACAGAATTCATTTGTTATAACTTGAACCGAGATAAGAGCTTGGTGCCAAAGGAACCATGCATGAACCCTATCCTTGGGGCCATCTTGGAGAACAAGGTCCAAGTAGGATCAAACTTGTAACTCCTGAAATTCCACCAGCCTCCTAGAGTCAGAACTGAGCTAAACCAGCTGGAGTCAGAAATCTTAACAGGTGACCACACTTTGAGGTACTGGAGGAACCATCTATTGTTAATCTCTCAAGCACACCAGGGTAAAAAGCATAGAAATGTACTCCTTTTTTTTTTTTTTTCAAATGGGTTCAGTGTGTAGGCCCCAGAAGCAGAGAATGGGAATTCTGATGTCAAGTATTAATTTTTGTAAAATGCCAGCAGTCCAAATTACCTGTATTCTGACTGATCAGCAAAGCCTCATGCTTAAATCCCCACTCCAGCATTACCAAGGGTCCACTACTGGCCAGTGACCAGCCTGCACTTTCTAAAGCAAAGTTTAGTTTTAACTAGTCCTGGAGTGCAGGGGGCCACCTCTACAAGGAGGGCAGGACCCGCCTCACAAGCCCTGGATTCTTAGAGGTGCTTTTATGGCTCAAGCATCCCTCATAAAGAAAAGCTCTTAAGAGACACCTTGCTGTTTGATCCTAGAGGAAGGCTGTGAGTGTGTGAGCATGCTTGTTTGGTTTTTTATATTCCTGCCCTTGGTCTTCCCATTCCAGGTGAAAATTCACGCAGGCCCCAAGTTTGCTTCCTATCTGACCTTCAGCCCCTCTGAAGTGAAGTCGCTTCGAACTGAGTACGGAGACCTGGAACTGTGTATTGAAGTCGTGGACAGTGTCCTGGAGGCCATCGACCACATCCATAAGTACGGCAGCTCCCACACGGACGTCATTGTCACGGAGAACGGTCAGTGTCCACAGGCTCCGTGCAGACAGGCATTGCTTTTTCTGCTCTGATCTCTGAGGTTCTCAGCCCCTCTTGAGCTACTAGAAAGCATAGTAATACCAGGGTAGGTTTAACTTGCTATTTAGTTGATTCCAACTCTGAGTCCAGTATGTCAGAGTAGAAGGGACTATATAGCATTTTCAGTGGCTGAAATTATAGGAAATAGATCTCCAACCTTTTAATTAGAATTCAAGCCCATTAACGGCCTGCAGCACCCTGGACTGTTCACATAGACTGCCTCATTTATGTGGTCGCAGCATCCCAGAACGAGGAGGCTGGACAGAAGTAGACTCTACCTTAATGAGGATTAGGACTCCTGGTGGCACAGTACATAAAGTGCTTGACTCCCAACCAAACAGCCTTTCTATCAAGATTCCCCCTTGGAAACCCTGCTGTGTCCTACAGGGTCACTGTGAGTCAGAATGCACTTGACGGTGGTGGGCTTGGTTCTTTGGTTTAGAGGTCACTTACCATACAACAGTCTTCTAAGGTAGTTGGAATAAACCCATTTTACAGCTCTGGAAGCCAAAGCCCAAAATCTACTGGTTAAGAGCAGAACCAAATCTCCACATTCATTTATTCCACAAATGTGTAGGTGTCAGGCACTGGAGGTAACAATGAAGAAGGAAACCAGAATGATTTCTTAGAAGAATTTAGTCAGTCCACTATGAGTTTGAACTGACTTGAGGGCACTCAGCAACAACTGGGGCATCACAATGACACCATCAATAATAATACTTCATGTTTACTGAGTACCTACCATGTGCTGGGCCCCAGGGTGGGTGAGTGCTCCGTGGGCATTGACTCATCCTCTGCACAACGCTGAGAGGGTAATGCTGTCAATTTCCATGTTAGCTGAGCAGAGAAGGGGTTAGAAACTTGCCCAAGGTTTCCTCTTAGTAGATATGGAGTTGGCATTCAGATCTTGGCAGTCTAGCTCCAGAGTCCACATTGGTCACCTTGACTCCAGGCTGCCTGTCAGTAGGTAGTGTAGGCAGGCCACGGTAACACTAAGGATGCATCTGCATTACTAGTGGGAGAACCAGATCCTAACCCACTCTTTCCCAGGTCATTATTTCTTCCATTACACTGTGTTTAATGAAGCTAGCTTGCCGTCTTCCTTTTGCAGTTTCTGACACAGCTGTGTGTTTAATATGTTAGGGGAACACATGCTAAGGTCAGCCTCTAGTGAGTGGCTAGAACCAAGACTGTCCCCATGGGTCACCACTCTCTTCTCTCTTGATGCTTCAGAAAAGACAGCAGAGTTCTTCCTCCAGCACGTAGACAGCGCCTGCGTTTTCTGGAATGCCAGCACTCGCTTTTCTGATGGCTACCGCTTCGGACTGGGTAAGAAAGACTCCAGTGGGGGTGGGGGGGCGAGAGGAGCCCCTTGTGAATTGTTGTTTGGTTTAGGAGCATGGTGAAGGCGCAGGTCATGGTGGGATTACAAGGGGAGAATAATAGCTTCCATAAGTCTTACACTCTAGGTATTTCATGTTGTTTTGTTGTCAAATGTGATCAATTTCATGTTAAGAAGGTATTAAAAAAAAACGACATTGCACTCAAGTGAACCTTGCCTAATAGTGACCCTGCAGGACAGAGCAGGACTGGCCTTTAGGGTGTCTGAGACTAAATATGTATGGAAGCAGATTGCCACATCTTTCACCCTCAGAGTGGCTAATGGGTTCAAATAGTAGCATTGTGGATTTATTTCTTCCCAGTGACAACAGCCAGGTTGCCTAGGAACCCCACCCATCACACACTTATGACCCAAGGGCAGGAAAAGGGGACATGCTAATGCAGCTCCTGGGCTGAGAGTCAGCATCAGATGTAAATCGGAAAGTGCCAAGGTGTGAGGTGAACTTCCAAAACAGGCAGTAGGTTAAAGGCTTTAGGATAAAAAACTCTACAATCACGCTCTTCCCTCTGCCACCTGCTGCCACTAGTTATACAGCCCCCTGTAGTGTAGGAGTAACTCAAACAGCTTCTGGTTTTCAGGGGACCCATTATACAAAACTCTATTTATGACACACTTTCTGAATGTTTGAGAATTATTTCAACTGTTTAAAACATTTTAATCCCTCTGAACTTTTGAATAAATGACCTGCCTGTGGAAATAGTTTTCGCTGAATTGTTAAAGGTTATTAAAAGGAATTTTAGTCAGTTATTCTTAGTCATTAGACTATTTTTAGTATCACTGTGTTGGGTTGATTTAATTATCACATCATTTGCACTGATCTGAGTACACCACTTAGTTCTTAAAAGAAGAAACATCAACCTGCTTTCTTTCAGTAGCTGAGGTGTCCAGATTTCAAGTAGCAAGCCAGGATGGGGGAGGACAAGAGACCACTCAGTTAGTTGTCCTCCTAGCTGAGACTAGTAAACACCTAACCTGTGGCTGAGCTACCTTCCTGTGACATATATTCCCAGAAGTGACAGCTAATATTTACCGGGTATTGCTGTGTGCCTCAACCTCTCACTGACAGCTTGTCAGCCTGCAGGATGCTGGAAGCTGTGCCATGAAAATGTTAAAGGCTGTCTGTCAGAGGGAACTTTAGTCAGTTCTTCTTTGTCATTGTTGTCATTGTTAAGTGCCGCTGACTTGGTTCCAAATCCTAGCGACCCTGTTTAGGGTTTCTGAGGAGCAGCTGGTGGGTTTGAACTGCTGACTTTATAGTTGAGTGCATATTCTACAGTGCCACACCAGGACTCATTGGACTTTAAATTTGGTTTCTATTATGTTGGATTGCTTAAACTGTCACATCACTAGCACTAATGCTATCAAATGCCAGCAGGATGACCCATGGGGAACAGATGTTAGTGGAGCTTTCAGATTAACATACACTTGAAAGAAAGGCCTGGTTATTTTTTTTAATTAGCTCATGAAAACATTGCAGGTCACAAAAGAGTATCGTCCAATGTCATGCTGGAGGGTCCCTGCTTGTGCAGCATTTTCACTCGTGGTTCAAACCTACCAAGGGAGAAAGACATCGTAGTCTGCTCCGTAAAGATGGAAAGCCTTAGAAACGCTGTGGGGCCGTTCCCCTCTGCCATGTAGAGTCACTGAGTGGGAATGGCTGTGCCAGCAGTGGTCTGGGTTTCTTCTGTATAACACTGAAAGGTGGCCGCCCTCTCCGCCGGGGTAGAAGGCACTCAGAATACAGCGGCCTGGGCATCCTGACCAGCATGAAGGTGGTGCCAGACCTGGTACACAAGGCTGCCATGGGTTGAAACAGACTCAATGGCAGCACCAGTCACTGTGCTAAGTGGAGGTGTCAACAAGTTGATGGTAAAATGGAATGAAAAGATACGGGAATTTTTCCATGTGCTTTTTGAAACCCCTGGTTAAGTACATCACAGGCATCATCTCACTTAGTTCTATAAACCAGATACTAATTTTCTCGATAAAAACAATGGAGCCTGGAGAGAAGTTAGGTAACTGGCCCCAGGTCACATGGTCTCTGTGATTTTGAACCAGAATTTGAATCCAGTGGTCTCACTCTTCTTGCTACCCACCTACCCCCTGCAAATCCCATAGGGGCATTTGCACTCTCTTCTGTCCTGCCTGCAGCCCCTCCTACCCGATCCTTCCCTGACCAGTTCCTGCTCATCGGGGAGTTCTTAGCTCAGATGTACCTCCCTGACTGACAGCCCTGCCCTGGCCTGACCCTTCACTGCTCTTACTCACCACCTGGAATTATTTCCTTAGCTCTCCTTTGGCTGCCTAGCTTCCTGCAAACAGGGCCCCCACAAGGCCTGGGATGGAGCACTTGCTCTGTAAAGGGAGGGAATTCTGCCTCCACCGTGAACAGAGTAGCTCACTGAGCCAGGCCCATGGATTCATTTACTATACACACTTAAAATTCTGGGAGGACACTAGGAAAATTCTAGAATTTAAAGGATGTGTGGGGAGATGAAGCCTCCATAGCAAGCACTGTGCACTTGCCCAAATGTCAACATGCTGAACTGAGAGCATTGTCAGATGCAGTAGGACATAGTCCAAAAAGAGACCCCAAAGTGTGTCTCATGAGAAGAGGGACCAGTGTGGCTCCAGCTAGAATGAGGAGGATGGGTCAGGAGTTGGTATGGAGAGAGGACACGGAGCAAGAAGAATGAGACCTGGATCCCTCAGGTGAGTAGATGGGAAAGAAGCTGTGAGATGCTGCGTCTTAATCCATCCTTTTTACAGGAGCCGAAGTGGGAATCAGTACATCACGAATCCACGCCCGGGGACCAGTAGGACTTGACGGACTACTTACTACTAAGTGGCTGCTACGAGGACAGGACCACGTGGTATCAGATTTCTCAGAACACGGAAGTTTAAAATATCTTCATGAGAACCTCCCTGTTCCTCAGAGAAACACCAACTGAAAGCATTCAGAATAAAGCCAGGAAAACCCACAAATGATCCAAGAGGTTTTCACAGTTAACACTTGTCTTATGAGTCTCCAGGGATAAACCAGATCTTGTCTCCCAGTTCCTGAAAAGGCTTGCGTGTTAGAAAGTGTACCGAGATGCTTCTAGGCTCAATTTGCCAACATTAGTCTTGGCTCAGCGTCCCCCTCCCCCAACCATCTTAATTTTTTTTTTTTTTAAGTAAGAAAATAATTGCTACAGGTAGGGACTTTGCCTGATCCAGTTCCCCATAGTGATCAGAACAGAAAGGTGCTGTTTCTCCACATAAAAGACAGTGGGAAAATGACGACCACATATCACCTCAGTGAGGTGAAGTCTCCTTGGCATTTGGTTCGTTTTAACGCCAGTGATTCCTGACAAGTCTTCATGGGCATTCACACTCAAAGTCATCTTTTGAAAAGGAAAGATTGGGAACTTCGGAAGAGAGCCACTTCTCTGTAGCACTGTCGTCAGAAACCATCACAAAATGGGTCTGAGTCCTCATTTCCGCTGCGAAGCTTGGCCTTTTGTATTTACTTGTGGAGAAAATCGTAAGCATCCAGGTGCTTACAGGCTTCTCCTGGTCCTCGGGACTCTGTGTCGGTGATCTAGCACAGTGAAGTGCAAGCTTCCAGATCTACCCCACTTAGCAGGAGGAATACCAGCAGCAGTTAGGTGTGAAATTTTTATATGAATTTATCATTGTAAACTGCTTCCCCTTTCACTCCAAAACAAAAAATTATAGGAGTATTTTAATACTTGAGAATTCCCCCTCTTTTTGGGAAATAAAGTTCTTATGAAAAACCTGTATGCCTGGTGGCAGTTTCCTCCCTGATCGCTGTCACCCTTGTCTTCGTTTCCCTCCCTTGTGAACCCGCTATTAGGTACTGTCACCCAGAGAGAAGTTGGGAAAAGGGCATATGGCAGGGCTAACAACACAGGACTCAGCCTAGGAGAGGGGAAAGGAAAACAGGAGATGAGTCCCCGAGAGTTTAAGACAATGTATAGAGATGGTCTGAAGTCGGTGGGTGTCAACACCAGCCTCCCTAGATGGGCAGCCCTAACCCTTGGCCACTCGGACGGCCACGACCCAACTCACATTTTTTCACTGTGGATGTAAATAACTTCACTTCACCAGGCTTCTCCCTGCCAGCTCCCATTGCCTTGTTGTGAAGTGGCGTCAAGTCAGTTCCGACCCATAGTGACCCTGTATAGGGTTTCCAAGGAGCAGCTGGTGAGCTTGAACTGCCAACCTTGCAGTTCAAATAGCTTTGCAGTCTGGCGCATTAACCCACAGCGCCACACCAGGACTCCTTGGGAGTGCGTTTTGTCAATAGATGTAACCCCTCACATCCCTCCCGCAGTTCAGCTCCTCTTTTGAGGACCTGGTGCCTAGGAGACTGCAGTTGAAAGACTTCTCATCTCAGGAAGAAATGAGAACTCAGATGCTGCTGCTTATCCTCTGAAGACATTCCATGAGCACAAAAATTACGGTGTCGTGTGCAGTATGTTCCCAGGCTAGCTCCAAACTATACTCTCATCCCCACCCTTACATGGTCTGGCGAGTTACCTGGCTCACCCTACCCTCTGAAAGGGTAATTCGGGCATAGCTTTCCTGAAAAGGCAATAAACAAAGTCCTGTTTGAAACTTGAACATACCACTAACAGCTCCCAACTAGACAACTAATGCCCCTGGGACCCAGACTAGAAAGGGGCTTGAGCGGGGCTGGCCCTGAGGAAGAGCATTGAGAAGGCCGGCCTGGCTCTGGGTGAACTTTGAGGAAGTCCTAGGAGGAAGGAATTGGAAGGGTCTTCAGGGACTGTTGCTGTTGGGTCAGTTCCAACTCCTAGCAACCCTATATAAGGTTTCCAAGGAGCAACTGGTGAGTTTGATCCACCAACTTCATGGTTCAAACCAACTTGTGGTCCAGTTCTTATCCTACAGCGCCACAACAGGACTCCAGGGAGGGGATCTTGGGGGGCAAATCCAGAGATGGCAAGTTAAGGGAATAGCGAAGATACGAACTTGGGGCAGAAGGTTTATGTAGGTAAACGGGAAAGTATTTCATCCTAGACAACCACTGTTGTTGATGTCTCCACTGGAGCCACCATTTTTAGGACTTGGAAGGGAGTGGAAGTTGGCTTGAAAAATACTGGTTAAAGCTCAATGATCCCAGCAAGACCATTTCCTCCAATTCATCTTAATTCTACAGGGATCATAGACCATCCATTTTCTCCATCAAAGACAAAGACACCCAAAAAAGGCCAAGAGGCAACCGTGGCCTTACAGGTATCCCTCCTGTGGGTTGTCTTCCTGGATTCACTGGCTTGCCCTAACTATAAGAATGAAGACTTATTCTGAAATTCCGCCCGTGGTCCCACCCCACTACTTCCTGGACCTGGCCATTCCTAGCTAGTTCTCTCTTCTTTAGTACCCTGGTTCTGGATGCCAAAATAGGTCATCCCTTCCCCCCAAAACAGGGGAGACCCCTCTGAGCTATGTCACTTGTGTTGAAGCCTGTTTTGAAATTTCTGTTACTTGGAATCAAAATTATCTCAACTGAAATTATGGGGATATTGACAAAATTATTTATATGGGAAAGAAAGTGGGTAACTAAGGACTCGATTATAATGTTAAGTGTCATCCAATCAGTTCTGACTGCAATCTTGTATAGGGTTTCTGAGGGTTTGAATGGATAACCTTGCAGTTACAGGCTAGAGCTTGTCCTACAGTGCACACCAGGACCCCAGATTATAATTGAAATGTGCTATTTATTTGCCCTTAATCCTGAATTTTACAGAATGATCTTTCCTTGGTGTATGTAGTTCAGGGAAGGGTGATTTTTTTCCTACCTACTACTTTTGATGTTGCTTTTTAAGTGCCATTGAGTCAGTTTTGACTCTTAGCGACCCTGCTTCTGAGGAGTGGCTGGTGAGTTTGAACTGCCTACCCTGTGGTTCAAACCAACCTTACCGTGTAGTGCTTTATCCCACAGCGCCACATCAGGACTATTCTTGTTGTTAGGTGCCATCAAGTCGGTACCAACTCATAGTGACCCTATGCACAACAAAACGAGACACTGCCCAGTCCTGGTCCAATCTCACAATTGTTGTCATGCTTGAGTTCATTGATGCTGCCACTTTGCCATCTCGCTGGAGGTCTTCCTCTTTTTCTCTGACCTCCACCTTACCAAACATGATATCCTTCTCCAGTGACTGGTTCCTCCTGACAATATGTCCGAACTTTGAGAGACGAAGTTTCGCCATCATGGTCTCCAAGGAGCACTCTGGCTGCACTTCTTCCAACACAGATCTGTTGGTTCTTTTGGCAGCCCATGGCACTTTCAATATTCTCCTCTAACACCATAACTCAAAAGCATCCATTCTTCTACGGTCTTCCTTATTCACTGTCCAGCTTTCACATGCATATGAGGTTATTGAAAATACCATGGCTTGGGTCAGGCACACCTTAGTCCTCAAGCTGACATGTTTGCTCTTCAACACTTTAAAAAGGTCTTGTGCAGCAGATTTGCCTAATGCAATATGTCGTTTGATGTCTTGACTGCTGCTTTTATGAGTTTTGATAGTTGATCCAAGAAGAATGAAGTCCTTGACAAAAACTTCAATTTTTCTCCATTGATAAGAATGTTGTTAATTGGTCCAGTGGTGAGGATTTTTGTTTTCTTGACATTGAGATGTAATCCATACCGAAGGCTGTGCTCTTTGATCTTCATCAGTAAATATTTTAAGTCTTTACTTTCAGCAAGCAAGGTTGTATCATCTGCATATTGCAGGTTGTTAATGAGTCTTCCTTCAATCCTGATGCCACGTTTTTCTTCATAGAACCCAGCTTCTCGTATTATTTGCTCAACATACAGGTTGAATAAGTTTGGTGAAAGAATACAACCTTGTCACACACCTTTCTTAATTTTAAACCATTCAGTGTTCCCATGTTCTGTTCGAACAACTGCTTCTTGGTTCATGTATAGATTGCTCATGAGCACAATTAATTTTCAGGAATACCCATACTTCACAGTGTTGTCCATAGCTTGTCATGATCCACACAATCAAGTGCCTTTGCGTAGGCAATAAAGCACAGGTAAACATCTTTCTTGTATTCTCTGCTTTCAGCCAAGATCCATTAGATATCAGTAGTGATATCCCTCGTTCCACAGCCTCTTCTGAATCCAGCTTGAACCTCTGGAAGTTCTCTGTCAATGTATGCTTGCAGCTGTTTCTGTTTTACCTTTAGTAAAACTTTACTTGCATGGGTTATCAAAGATATTGTCCAATAATTTCCACATTCTGTTGGGTCACCTCCCTTTGGAATGGGTACAAATACGGATCTCTTCCAATCAGCCGGCCAGATAATTGTCTTCCAAATTTCTTGGCAGAGATGACTGAGTGCCTCCTGTGCCGCCTCACTTTCTTGAAAGATTTCAATTTTTACTCCATCAATTTCCTGGTGCCTCGTTCTCTGCCAATTCCTTTTTTTAAGGACTATTTTTAGTAGTAGTCAAATGACTCAGGTCTGATTCTGTTCCCCTATGTACTATGATTACTTCAGAGCTAAGCTTGTGATCTAAACTTGGCCAAACATGCCATTGTTGTCATTATTGGTTGGGTGCCTTTAAGTCAGCTCCAACTCACAGTGACCCTATGTACAACAAATCTGCCTGGCCCTGAGCCATCCTCACAAGCATTGCCATGTGGTAGCCATTGTGTCATTCCATCTCACTGAGGGTCTTCCTCTTTTACGTTAACGCTCTACCAAGCATGGTATCCTTTGCTATATGAACTCTCTTCCTCCAAGGTTCTAACTGTACACCTCAAAGAGGTCAAAAGCTGATAGTATCCATTCTCCCTAACATGTAGGCAGCAATTATGAAGTACTGAATAGAGAAACGAGAGCCAGGGGATGTATAAAGATTTTTTTTACATACCTCATTCCAGCTGTGCCTGAAGTCCACTCCAGC